CTGTTTGCTCTCCCCCTCGTTCCAGGGCGCTCACCCTCCTCTTTCTCCTCCTACTCCTCGTCCAGTAGCAGTCGCTCTCACTACCCGCTGCACTGGATATCAGAGGCCAGAACCTACGGATGGAAGGTACTTCTCGACGCTTCGGGTATCATCGTTGGGCGCGAGGATGCCCCTGACTTATCAACTCATCGACCTGATTACGTTGTCTGCAACTTCGTGGGACCGAACACCTACAACACCCGCTGCTGTCTCCTCTCCAGAAGGTAGTACTGTTCGGCTGTAAAAATTGCCGTCCCTGTGCTTCTTCTTCTTCTACAGCAGAGGGTCGGGAGATACACTACCAGACTGGACTGCAGCGACTGATGCCTTTAACCTGAAATAAACCGGACATTCTGAATCTGCACCGAATAGATAGCATAGTTTAGCAGTCGTGCGTGCGCGAAAACGCACATTACGTAGGTTAGGTTGGACCTACCGTCTTCACCCCAGTAGAACGACGCCCCATCATCATCATAGCCGTATTTGGTTCAATTTCCAGTCCAGATACGACGATAATGACCCCGCGTTCTATTCGCCGGCTGAAGACGGTAGGTCAAACCTAGTTTCCTCCTCGCTTCTTTTTTTTTTTTCAACATCACAGGATCGTGACTACTGACTACTGAGATGATTGCACCCGGCATACTGCTTGCAGCCTTTAGCCTGCCTCTAGTGGACATCGCATTCCGAATCTGGACAGGTCACAGGTGTACCAGCCGGACCCGGTCACCTCCGTCTTCCAGATGGAGAACTCACGGCTGCTGTGTCTCAGGCATGTCAAATCATTGTGGGATGACAGTCTATCTGATGAGGGTAGGAGAGCACAGCAGATAGAGGGCCATCCCTACCGTCTTCAACCGGATAGAGCGCCCGGTCAATTTAGCTGTGTTTAGACTGAAAGTCGGTCGCCGGAGTACAGCTATCTATAATGACCGTACGTTTTCTATTCGGGGGAAGACGGTATGAATGGCTCCGATCTATTCGTGGGAAGAATCACGTGCTGGGAACTTGGCCCCAGCTTCCCTTGAGTAGAACATTCTGATCTGCATCTGAGCTGGTGCTATGACCCTACCGTCTTCACCCGAATAGAACGCCCTCTATTCGGGTGAAGACGGTAGCCTAGGTACAAAGTGTCGGACATCATAGATTATCCTGCACCAAGGGAGGGGGGTGATTAACAGCTGCTCCCCTCCTTTCGGGGAGATGTCGGGCTCAAGCCGCTCAACGTATGAAGTTCCAAACATAGCGTTCGCGGTAGTTTCACAGGCAAAATAGTGGCGGGGCCCAAGTTTCGTTGCAAAAACACGTCTTTCATTGCAGCCCTTAGAGGTCCCGGTGGTTTCACATCGAAATTATTTTGCGGGCGGAGTCCCACTTTCGTTGCAAGAATACATTGTTCTTTCCGCTGGGAAATTTCGAAAACGCCCTATGTTTTCAATTATCCCTTCCGTAAATGCAGCTGCCAGCAATACCTTTCTCGGCCTTTTGGCTAAAAATAAATCAAGTGCAGTATCTGTTCTGATCAGTTCAATATCTGATCCGTGGTCCATCGGGCCACATTAATAATAATAATAATAATAATAATAATAATAATAATAATAAATGCAGCTGCCACTTGTGCGCTGTCTGTGCTAATACGTGCACCATAATTATGGCATAACCTGCAGTGAATATGGTACCGTAGCCAGAACACAGCACGAATTGGGCCTGGGTGTACCAACAGACTACTTGTGGGGAAGGAAAATAAATGAGGAAGGACACTATGAGTTCTGGCAGGTATTAGGCCCGGGGTTGGAAGGCGGCTTTGAGGCTATCAAATGGCAAACATCTGCAGATTTATCCTTCACCAACGAAATTTACCAAGGAAGCAAAGAGAAGCTGGAATCCGTGAAGGATCTAGAGGAGATTGCGGTGACAGCTCCCCTAGCCCGAAGGAATGGGCATGCAGCTCAGACAAGGAGAAAGCTAATAGCAAAAGGATGTGCTCTCAAACTGCTTGGTACCAACCCAGCTGTCATAGGTTGGTATAATGTAGAAAGAGAAAGGATGGTGTCACTGGAAGAATATATGCCTAAAGTTGGTACTGAAGTTCTAAGACGGAAAGTCAGGAAACAATCATTCTCCACTGTTCTAAAAAGACGTGCTGAACAGGGTTTGTTAGGTATTTCGCAGGAGACAATGCAATCCTTATGGGTTGAGCTTAAGGGTCTTCCGTCTCAGAGATTGGCCGGTATGGTATGGCTACAAGCAATCCTGGCCACAGCATCGGCAGTTTGGTTAGTGGCCAAAGGTATGGAAATACCTACCACCGACACGAGATGTAAGTGGGGGTGGGAGACTACAAGACATCTTTGGTTGACTTGTCCCGCTTCACGACGTATCTGGGACTGATGGATTCAGCACTGGGCAAAAATCACCAAGAGTAGTTTTGAATGGTCTGATGACTGGATTCTAACGGGGTGTGTGAAAGGCAAAACTGACTGGAAGTACGTGGCCCAGCTGGCAAGAGCGATCATTATGAAAGTGATCTGGGACGATAGGAACAATCAACTTTTTCGTCGTAAATTTATGTCAGACATCCAGATTAAGAAGCGGATTACTTTGGACTTACGAAGAACCATTATCTGTGACTGGGAAAGACAGAACCCGAGGGGTTAATAGAAAACAACGGGAATGGTTCTGGGAGACTTGGGGAAGGGATTCAGGATTGGCAATGATAGATGATAGGGGGAAACTCTCCTTCTGCTCTTGGTTGTTGGCCACGATTGGTCATGGGGAACGGATTAGTACCCCACCTTGACCAGTAGGGTCGCTTCGGCTTCCCCCGCTCGGAGTTTAAGGAAAAGCCCTATGACGGCTCTATGTCTACTTTTCCTTGAATAAAAGAAGGGAGGGAAGTGGAAAGTTGGTTAAGAGCAAGGGGTATGGAAAGGTGGAGGGTTTTAGTAAGTAGACATAGAAGGGAGTTCAGGTTCAAGCCCGGTGGACCTTCATCCTCACTGTCCTTTTATTGAGCGAAAAAGTTCATTTTTTTGGAGTACGATTTGAGAGAGAGAGCAAGTTAGGGGACGCTGGACCCGGCTTCCAGTACAGAGCCGAATCTGGGTGATGGCCCCATTTTTCCGGGTAGAATTGTGAGGTCCCCGGCCTCATCTTGTTCTTCATAATAAATGATTGATATTCTCCAAAAAAAAAAAAAAAAAAAAAAAAACGAACATAGCATGAATTGGCCTGGCCGCCTGGGTGTACCCTAGCCTGAACATTGTGCCATAGCCAGAAAGTAGCACGAATTGGGCCTGGGGCGTGAGCTGCTGGTGGCTTAGTGAGTATTGACCTGTTCTTCCCGTCCAAGCCGCGGGGATGCAGCACCACCATTGCCTCACCTGCAGGCTGCTGCCTTTTCCAACCGAAGATTGCAACCTTGACGGGGGGCAGGTCCCACTAGCAATGAGGATTGTAATCGAGACCTGAATCTGGACGTGTTTGTTTGACGGTGAAGAAAATAGAGATTGGTCTGCTTTTCAGCACCTCTGCATAGAGCACATCCAGATTCTGATTTCACTGATGCAGGCACTTGTGAGCACAATCCTCTTCGCGGCTCTGCTCCCGAGGCAAACACTGGATCTAGATAGTGGTGCTGTGTTCGGCTGTGAACATAGAATCATAGATAAAAAATAAAATGCATTCAGTGCCCGCTTGGACTATGTACCTTGTACAGAAATAACAAACAACATGCATATACCTGAGGGGCTCGTTAGACACTCCTCGGGCGCTCAAAAATCCCGAGGAAATGATCGTTCCATCTGTCCTCGGAGAGAGTTCCTTGGACACCGATTTGAAAACATTTCCTCGGGGCGTCCTCGGGCCGTCCTCGGGCTACAGGCATTTGGCTGTGCTCCCCAAGGTACCTCGCGGGGTCCCTCAGAGTGGGAGTTTCCGCGAAATTCGGGACGGCGGTGGCGCTCTTCGACGACGTCAGAATTTTGTAGTCTGGTACATTGCTGGTCCAGCCGAGGTGCGGGCGGACATTAGCGGCCGCCAACGTTCGACTCCGGCGGGAACGACTGCAACGGTAAGGTTGGGTGCCGGACGGGGTCCCTGGCCGTTGCCGGTTTATCCCGGACCCTCACCAGCGCCGGCGGGAAACGGGAAGGCCTCCAACGGCCAGCCGTTTCGAAAATGACAGCGGCGTACGTCCGTCACCGCGCGCAGTGGTCCACAATGTAAAGCGGCRGAGGGCGYCGGCAGTCGTGTGGTTGTCGTCTGCTGTTTGCCGCCATCTGGGTAGACGTTACGTTGTCGTGCGTTGTCGTCGTTAGTTGCCCTTGCGAGAACGGTTGTGTTACATGGCCGACGTGCTCCGCAAGCTGCCGCTGGTCCTCCTCGTCGTGATTCTGCTTGTAGTTGTCATCTTTGTTCAGGTGTGCATATTGGGGAGGTTGCCTTCACGTACTGGCAGGAAATGAGGGCTGAGGAAGATCGTGGCCATGGACGGGCGGCGGCCGAATGTTGCCACGTTGTCCGACACTTATCCCAGCCACCGGCCTATGATCTGCACCGGTGTAGACAGAAGGGCGGCGTCGACGTACGAAGGACTCCCGCCTCACATGCAGCCTCTACCCGATTCGGACGAGGGGGAGGCGGACGTGGACGTGTCCAACACAGTTCCGCTGGGTAGCGGGTCGACCCAGGAATGGACGGGTAGCCAGTTGTTTGATGGGCGCGAAGCGAAGTACAGGCAGTCGTTCACTTCCCTCCTCCATGAAGGTGCCCAGGAAGAGGAATGCCTCCCCCCTGTGGATCTCACATTTGGCCTGCTGAGCGGGAGCCCATCTTCTGCCACGCGCACTATGCTCGTGAACCCTCATCCCGACGACGACGCGGGGCAGGTGACATTGGTCGGCAGGGTCACGAGGGGTGGTTCTGCGCGTCAATAGACGTCCGAGAAGACGAGGGAGCGGCCTCGAGTGCAGGCGACTTCTGGCCCGTCAATTCCACACACCTCCGCTGGTCGCCCTGAGTGGATGAACCCCCCTCCTGCGTTCTCCAGGGGCCACGACACCGTTCCTCGTCCAGTTGAACGGGGTGTGAGTGCGGAAGACTTCCCTTTCGAGGGCGCCCGTGGAGATGGCAGGCGGGTATGGAAGGAGTCGAGACAGGAGTTGCGGCGGCAGCAAGAAGAGTCCATAACGCAAGGTGTGCAGCGATTACGCGTGGGCGAGCGGGCCGGGCAAGCAGACGCGGTTGGCGGGGGGGGTGACATCTGGACAGACGGTGACGAAGTTGAGTGCGACGCTGAGGAGGACGACAGTGGTGACGTGTTCCCGTTGCGTGCGCCGAACATGGGTGGCAGGGGTGGCAGAGGCCGGGCTTCGATGAATGTTGGGCGGAGGCGGAAGAGGCCATCGGCGACCTCTCCTGATGCGGAAGGTGAGGGGGATGGGGAGGGTGGCCGGAATTTCTGGTCTGTGGATCACATGGTGACCCTCATAAGGGCGAAGCGGGATCAGGACGCCCAACTGCAAGCCGCGGGGCACACATTCGCACGGATGCGGTCGAGGGAGTGGAAATGGTTGGACGTCCGGGAGAGGTTGCTGAAGGTCGGTGTTGACAGGCCGGCAGACAAATGCGGGAAGAAATGGGATAATCTCATGCAACAGTTCAAAAAGATCCACACTTTCATGGGCATGTTGGGGAAGGAGGACTTCTTCCAGTTGACGAGTCAGCAGAGGGCAGAGAAAGGATTCAGCTTCAACATGGATCGGGCCATCTACGAGGAGATCAAAGGGGCGAAGGAGAGGAGCCACACTATCAGCCCCAGCAATGTTGCAGACACCGGTGGCGCAGGAGGTGTGCAACTCCCATCTGCTCAGTCGGCGACTCCGGAGTCTGTGGGTGACGGGGATGCCGATGGAGATCGCACTCATCCACGGAAGACATCGCACTCATCCACGCCGCAAGAAGTCGCCCAAACGACCACACAAGGCCGCCACCAATGGACACTGGCAATGAAGAAGTTCGCGGAGATGGCGTTCGGGGCAGAATGCGCAAAAGCGAACACGCAAGACGGCGGTGGCGCTCACTGCTGTTGTCGTAGCCAGGGTGCGTCATGTCTTCTAATACGTGGCGATGTCTGTGCTGACGCCCAAACAGCCATTGGCCGTTTCCGCATGACGCCCACTACAACACCCCTGTGCTTCCCCGATGGGACCGTCACACGCACGCATCTCCCCGCCCCGCCGCACCAGACGCCACGCTTGGCCGATTCAAATTTCGAATTTTGAAATCACACGCGCGCGCGCGCAATTTTCGTTTTCCCGCAGCGGCGGCAGTCCCTTTTCAAATTCGCCACCCATACGCGGTGGACCAAGTCCAGCCAGACGGACACCACACGAAGGACCACCGCCCAAACACTCGTCCCGCGGCCGCGTATAACATTATACGACTCGCCGCGGCCAGTCCTTGGAGCATCCTCGGGGATCGTCCCGAGGGACGAGTGGAAAGAATGCGGGAAAATCCTCGGGCTGCCCCGAGGATTTTCCCTCGGAGCCCGAGGACGCCCCGAGGAGTGTCTAACGAGCCCCCAAATCCCTTTAGCCACCCTTCTGCCCCTGCATCAGGCTGCATGCAGTGTCGTACCCTGCTGCCCCTGCATCAGGCTGCATGCAGTGCCGTACCCTCGTTCACCGTTCACGGGGTCTGTGGACGGAAACATGTCATGGAATTCGCGAAGTTCATGACATGGGAGTTCATGGAGTTCACGGAGAGCGGGATCGTTTTTTTTTTTTTTTTTGCTGGGGGGGGGTGTATTTTTTTTATAGGAGGGTGGGGGTCATCGGAGGGTAAGCCCCCATATTTTTTTCAAAAAAAAAAAATCACGAATAATATTTTTTTCCCCAATACTCTTACGCAAAACGCAGGTCTCGCGTGACGCGTCCCGCTGAGACCTTTCCCGTGTGGGCCCGGTGCACCTTGGGCCCGGCGCGGTTTTTTGTTAAGGGCCGTTTTTTTTTTGGGTTGGTGTTGGCGCGGCTTCGTGGGCCCGGCGGGGTTTTCTGTTTACTGCCATTTTTTCGGGGGGCTGTTGGTGTTGGCGCGACTTTATGAACGGGCTCTTTTTTCGCTACCATTTTTTTTCGCGCCGTGCCAGGGGGGGGTTGGTGTCGGCGCGACCTTATGAAAGGGCTCTTTTTTCGCTACGGTTTTGTCGGCCATGTTCAACCAGGTAGTGAATATTTCCATGTTCTAGGGGAGGATTCATTCGATTTTGCTCATCCTATCGCTGGAAGTAGCATGACGCGGTCGGCCATATTCAACCAGGTAGTGTATATTTCCATGTTCTAGCCGAAGATTCATAGGATGTCGCTCATCCTATCGATGGAAGTAGCATGGCGCGAGCCGCGAGGTCGAGGAGTTATCGTCTCTCTCTCTCTCTCTCTCTCTCTCTGCAGCGGGCCTTCATCTGCCCTGGCCTACAGCCAGGGCCTATTTGGCTATTTGCCAGTTCGGCCTGTGGGACCAGGCCGTGGCCTGACCCCACAGGCYGTATATTGYTTCAGTCCAGTCCAGTCCCGCCYGGTACCACGGTCGGTACCAGGCCAGTCCAGTCCAGTCCAGTCAGTCCGCTGGGGGTATACCCCAGCTGCAGTCTGTTTTTCGTCATTCTTCACTTTCGCAGATCTTGGAGTACTTGCGTGTGGAGTCTGCGTCGGAGCTGCGCTGTCCCCTCCAGCTCCATCTCTGCCTCCTTCTTCGTCTCCATCCTAACGGACCGCCATCCCGGCGGGTCGGGCACACTGGTATCAGAGCGGGAACGGTCCCGGCTCCAACCCGCCCTTCCCCCCGCAGGCAACAGCGGGTGCGGGATAGGTGTAATCCCGACAGTGGGATTTTCAGGGGTTTTTGGTGAAAAAACAGCGACAAGAACGGCTGCACGGAGAAGGGTGACACGTGGCGAAAAGAGAGAGCGTCACCACGCACGTGCATTTTCAGGGTTTTTTGGTGAAAAAACAGCGACAAGAACGGCTGCACGGAGAAGGGTGACACGTGGCGAAAAGAGAGAGCGTCACCACGCACGTGCGCGCAAGCGCCAAGGCCAAGGCCGCCGCACGCGCGCGCGCCACGCGCCCACGCTGCCCCGCTGCCCCGCCCCGCCCYGCTCCCGGATATATTATATATCCATAGTCTTGCAACTGCAACCACCGGGGCTTGAACCCGGACACTCACTGAGCCATGCGCGTGCGTATACCACTTCACCACAGCGCACGTATGAGCAAGTAGTGGCGTGCGTTGGTGTTGAAGAGGTGGCACGGCAGCTATTTACCCCCCCCCC